TTCTATACCTCCCCCATTCCCAACTAGGGTAGAGTCTGTTCCCAGCTCTTCCTCCCACCCTAGTCCTCCTCTCTAAGATTCTCACCAGTAGCCCCTGGAGCACACAGGGTCATAGCCAGATTCCCAAAGGGTGAGATTCTGTTTATTCAAGGAGAGATCAGACAGGGTCCAGGGGAGGGGAAGTCCTCAGAAAGGGCAAATCCAGCCAGTACCCAGCCCATGGGTATCCATCCAAGCCAAACTGGGTAAAGGGGCCCAGAGCAGGTTTTATTTTAGAAAATAAGTGAAATTAAAAGAAAGGCAGAAAAAAAAAAGGAATGGGGGAGGGGAAAGCTGCCCTGGTGTGAGGGGGAGGGGGGAGGGGAGATGGGGGACGGCGGCACATAAGGGCCAAGCTGCAGCCCGCCTCGCCTCACAGAGCGCTCTCTCCCAACGAGATTCAATTAATTGATAACATGAGGCATCAAATTAATTTCTGGAGGATGTGAGATTCTGATGAAGAGAAATCGCGGCGATGGGGATCGGGTGGGAGGGGGCAGGCAGCACCCCTTTTAATCAGGTTCCACGGCCTAATTGGGAAGGAGGAGACTTGCATGGGTCATAGTGTCCCCTGCCCTGAGCTCCACAGCACCTCTTTCAGGAAGGACCCACAGAAGCAGTAGGTTCCCAACGCCCTTGGAACAAAGAGGGTGTGTATTGAGACCTTCAGGTCTCTTCTTCCCTGGCTCCCAAACCACAGCTTCAGGATGGTGAGCCCGAGGACACTGGACTGCAGGTGCACTCTTCACCCACTCTACAGTTAGGAAAACCAAGGCCCAGAGAGGAGACAGGTCATGCCTAAGGCCAAAGAGCGAGTTAGGAAGTTGGCAGCAGTGTGCTTGCTGGGGCTCCTCATGATGTATCCGTGTAGGTTCAGACCCTGTTTAGACCCAGACCCACGAAGTCATCTCAGAGCAGCATGGGTGGGCGGCCCTCTCTGTGGCTACAAACTGCCATGCTGCCTGAGCCGTCCCCTCTTCCAGTGTTCCCAGATCCCCAGCTGCAGTTATTTCCTTGGAGTCTTCTGAGTCCCGAAAACACCTTTCATTACATCCTTGTGCTCAGGTCTCCGAGGCAGGAGATTCCAGCAACTCCAACTGATGCGTTCAATTAAAAAGGTAAAAGCTCACCAGGGGGAACAATCCAAAGCGAGTGCTCAGCTGGGGAGGGGGAACAGGTAGCTCTGGCATTCAGGGAAAGGAATCTCAGAGACTTCCTGAAGGAGGATTCTCTCAGTGGACCAACTCTACATCCTCAACATGGCCTGACCGTTCAGCTCCTCCAGCTCCCATCCAGAGACGTGGCCTCGAAAAGCCTGGTGCTTTGCTCCCTGAGCGCTTACTGTGTCTGCAGCGGCCCGTCCCTGGGTCTCCCACAAATCCTAATGTTCCATATTCCCCCAAAACTCTCCCCAGTGCACCCCTTCCTTCCAGAATGCAGATGTGCATCTGCAGGGGGAACCTCAAAGGAAAAGAGGAAGTATACCACCACCCTCTTTTGGAGCAACTTCTTTAGGCCTGGGTCTCCTAAAGACGTAGAAATGTTCTAGAAATGTAAAGCCATCTGGGAATGGAATCCAAGGAAGCCCCATTGAGGAGATGAGAATGGAAGCCCCAGCAACCCCTTCCCCCTCCATGTCCTATCTCAGCTGGGGGTTTCAGGAGCCACTCCGGCTTAAGTGGCCAGTGACCACAGATGTGTGCTCCGAGGCCCTTGCTCCATTTCTGATTTTCCAAATTGCACGTGAGCCACCTCTTTTCTGGGTCCCTCCCGCTGCCCTTCACCAGCCTGGCCTCTAGCACACAGTAGGCCACCACAGTGTTTATAGGATGGATACTACTGGGTCCCTGGCTCCATTTCCTAAGCCACCCTGCCTTCAAGTCGACATCATTTTGCCACCCCTTTCCTGCTAGTTGAGAAACTTCTCCCACCAGTCTTGCCTACCTTGAATAAATGCCAGTCTCTATTCTACCTACTCTGTTAGTCTGAGGAAAACTCACCATGTCACCCCACTTTCCATTTACATGGTAGCTTGGGTAACAGGCCATCAGAAATTTAGCAGGAAAGGAAACACCATTTACCTCTATCTTGCACCAGCAATTGGCCCCACCCACCATTAAGCCTGGCTGTGGAGGCTCCAGTTGGCCAGAGGATTGGGCCCAGGGAGGTGGGCAGTGCAGATGGGATTCAGGGCACAGGCCACCGTAGGGCTACCGTCCAGATGGGAAAGGAGGAAGGTGCAGGGCTGTGCCAGAGGGAGAGCCAGGGAAAAAACCCTGGTCTCAGGAGGGGTCCTGGGACCAGGATCAAGCAAGGAGGGCATTTGCCAAGCCCAAGCCTACCCAGCCCGGGCGGTATATCACAACAGCACTGACTCCACCACCTTACACACTGCGGCCCTGTCCACATGTATACCTTTTGTGCCAGGAGTTCTTGTTTTCCAGCTCAGGCAGGTATGCCCTGAGTCCAGGCTCTGCAAGGGCCCAGGGGCAACATCTCACAAGACCACAGCATCCGAAGTGGCAGAATTCAGAGGAAAGGGGTTTCCGCTGTGATCCTGGCTTGGTGGAACTAGCAGCGGGCTGAAGGTGTGTATTTCCACAGAGAATCCTGGGAGGCAATGCTGAAGGGTGCCAATAACTCCAGGCTCAAGGGGAGTCTCCTTTTGCTTCTTTGAGATGATCCATTCAGTGCTAGGTCCCAAATTGGTCTGAGACTTGTTGCCAACATCTTCCGGAAGGACGTGTAGGCTAGGGTTTCCAAACCCCAGAATCTCCCTTTCTGGAGAGAGGGTTTATCAGTCATTTTTATTCCTCTGCATTCGGGGGAATTCTCTCTCCCATTTATGTGTGTCCCATAGGCTCCTTAGGAGTGCCTGGGGAATGCTCCAGGGTTGCCTGCAGGTGCAAACACCAGATTCTGCACCTACAGTCCTCCTCCTCGCTTAAAGGGAAAAGAGAAAGATGGCCTTCACACTAGAAGGCAGGCGGCTTAGGCCAAGCTTGTGGAGGAGCGAGGAGCGGCAGCTCCTCCCATCCCTCCCTTTCTCCCTTCACCGAAGGCACAGGCCCTACCTAGTTTTACAGGAGTCCAGGGCCCCACGTTTTAGTCCCAGCTCTGCTACCATGTAGCCGTGTAACCTTGGACAAGTTGCCTCTTCTCTCTGGGCTTCATTTTCCCAACCCATAAAATGAAGATTAATCCTTCAGTATTTCCAGTATTCAGCCAACATGTGGCCTGGCAGTGCTAGCAAATTAATAATAAAAGCCATCCCTTGATCAGTACTACCATGCGCCCGGCACGGTGCTAGGTACTTGACATCTGCTCTCTCATTCGGCTCCCAAATGGAATCTCTAAAGTGGGTATTATTGACCTACTTTACAACATAAGAAAATTGAGGTTCGAAGAGCTTAATTAAGTTCCCCAGAGTCCCATCTCTACTGCCAAGTTCCAAAGCCTTTTCCACTCTGACACATGTTCTGCCCTGGGGAGGCCTCAGTTCCTTGCGCTGGGTTCCAGAGTTCTGGAACCAAGTCTGAGGAGGCCATTCCAGCCAACAGAGCCTCAGAATCTGTCAAAAATAGTACCTGCCCTGCGTTCGTCTGGGGAAGCTGGAGGGTGGTTAAGATCTGTGAGAAGGGAAACTGTGAGGAGTTTCTTGGATGGAAGAAATGATTATTTCACACAGTTTAGGCTATTAGTAAAGATATTGTGCCTGCTTAGGATGGGACTAGGGGGCTTGCACCGAGGCTGGAGAGACAGGAAACTGCCAAGGCAGTGGGGTAGGAAGGGTTAAGATGCAGGGAAGGCTTCTAAGGGAGACGACCCTTCCCTCCCCTTGCACCTCACACCTTGCCTGTGAAACAGACACTCTGTTCCCATCCTTCTCTCCCCGATGTGATGTATTATCTGTCTCTCCTACCCCAACAATCTGAGTTCCAGAGAGCAGACCCCAGCCTTCATTGCTTGGGTACCCCAGGCAGAGTAGGGGCTCAGCAAACATTTAGGGGAATTACTGGATCCAAAGCAAGCCCTCCTCTCTCAGTCCCTCTGCTTCCCTCCCCACAAGGAAGAGGTATGTTGGGGTAGAGGCCGGGCAGGATGCACACATTCCTGGCAAGAAGGGACCTACCTGCCTGCCGCCTGAAAGGAAGTTTTTGGCAAAAGAGGGAAGGAAGCTGGTGGCGTCTAGGTGTGAGGAGGGTCCCTCCACAGAAAGGGACAGGAGCAGGTCCCTTTGCAAATGGGACCCTTTGCAAGGGCTCTGGCCCTGCCGTTCTCCAGCACTGGGATCAGGTCTTTCTCCCCCAGGGCTCAGGGGTTCCCCAACTCCATAACTCCTGGGAAACCTACCCAGAACAGGGAGAAGGATAGAAAACCCCACCCAAGCACCCAGCCCTTAGTGCCAGGAGAGGTTTCCCGTGGTCTTCCAAACTTAGCAGCAAGCCTGGAGCCAGGGTAAAGTGGGTCCTAAGGGTCCCACAGGAGAGATTCAGCGCTCACCCCGTGCCTATGGTTGCTGAGAGGGGACAACCATAGAACCACCTCCTCCCCTTGCCACCTTGACCCTCTGACTAGAGTGAGTGACTCCCCCAGCTCAGTCTTCTGAGTGTCTCAGATCAAAGGGCATCATGGGAGCTAACAAACTGTTCAAGTACCAAGAGCAGAGCTCCAGCATCCTTCCTCCAGCCACCAGGTAACAGCTCCAAAACCTTGAGGCAAAAGTTTCTCAAGTTTGAAAAAAAAAAAAAAAAAAAGCCCTGCAGACTTCCCCACAGTGGTTTTCCGCGGGGGCGGGCAGAGGTTTTCTAAGGCCGTGGCTCCCCTTCAGGCAGCTGGGTCCACTGGGCCCGGCCTTCGGTCCCAGCTCCTACCGGCTGGTTCACCGGGAGGTGGTGGTGGGGCGCTCAAAATGCCCGGTGCCCGCAGGGCATGGCGGTCAGGAGGCCGTTCAGCTGTGATTCTCTGTAAAGTGAGCTTCTGGGTTCTGCAGTGGGATCGGCACAGACCTTACCGCAGCTACAGGCCACATGACGACCCTGCTGCTCCTTCTTTCTGCGGGCACTCGGGGCAATCCTAACAATCGCCCCTCAAGCTGCCCTAACCTCAATCCCAGACTCGAGGAAGTGCGTGCTGGGACGAATCCAGGCGGGTCTCCAAAACCGGTGAAGATGCTGAGGTTCAGGTAAAAACCCGCATTGGCCAAAATGCTCCCGGGCTTTCTCAGGAGCCACCCGAATGGCAGCTTCAGACTCGGGTTTGCTCCTCCGGACTCCCCACCCCTATTCCTGGCTCCAGGCGCCGCGGTCAACCTGCGGGGAAACTAGGTGCTAGGGTGCTAGGCACGCGGTGATCTCCAGACGCCCGAAACACCAGGCGCTAAGTCAGCAAGGAAACCAGCCGGGAGGGGGCTGGCCAGGGAGGCCGGGGAGCAAAGGAGAGAACTGGGGGCTCTCTAGGCTCGGGGTTCCCATACCCTCTCCCCCTAATCTAGGTTCGGGGTGGAACGCGGTACGTTCACGAGGTCGCCTCAGTTGGGGTACAGAGGGAATCCGCCACCGTCTGGGCCTCTGCCTCAAAATCCGCATCCCACGAAATTACCCGGTTCTTTATAAGGGCGGCCGGGCCCCCAGGTGGAATTCTAGCGCCACTGGCTCTGCTCTGTCGCAGCGAAAGGAAGTTTGTTTGGTGTGGATGGGAAGCCCGAAGTTGAAGCGCCGCGGGTCAGAGAGGTGCTGGGGTTGTACAGGGGAGATACCAGACTCCACAGTTTGGGGGGGGGGTCCTGTTTGGACACTCCGGGCTCTTTCCCAGGTCTTTTCCTCTGCGGCCGCTCTCTCTTCTCCCCATACGTGGTGGGGCGGCAGCTCTCTCCACATCGGGTGAGTAGAGGTGTCGGCCAGATCGTTCCCCCCACCCTCCACCTCCGGCGCACAAATCACAGGGGCCGTTTCCAGACGCTCTCAAGTCCCCAAGAAGTTTTCCGCTCTATCCCGGAGCTGAAGGAGCGATAGGAAAGGGGCTGACCTGCCCTGGCACTTCCGAGGTGCGACCTCAGCAAGACAAGTCCCCATTTCACCCGAGACGACGCGGCGAGTAGGATCGCGATATCCCGCACTCCCTCTCGCCCCCACGTTCATCGGCCTCCTGCGCGTCCTGGGGAGTCCCGTACCGACTGGAGTTGGGGGAGCCCAGTTCACCACTTCCCTTCCCAGCTCAGGAAAGTCTGGGCCGGGAAGTATTCTTTGTCTGACTCGGGGCGGGGAGGGGGTCGCGCCCCGGTACACCCCATTCCCAGCGGCCCGGCCGGGAGGGGGCGGGGCCCAGATTCTTGGGGAAGGGCGGGCCTCGGTGGCCTCTCCGGCCGCCCCCCTCCCCGCGCCGGCCTTCGGCTGCCCCCACTCCCGCCGCGCCACAGCCCCCACCTGTTCCCGAGGCAGCTCCGGCCCGCGGTGGCCCGGGCCAGGGGCGGAGTGTCGCGGCTGCGCGGGGTCAGTGCGCCGCGGCCGGCCCTGGCTGGAACAAAGTGCGCCGGCCCGGGCCCGGCTCCTCCCGGCGCTCGGCGCGTCTCGGGCGGGCAGTTTGCAAACACAAAGTGAGCCAGCGAGCGGGCGAGAGAGTGCGCGAGCGAGGGAGTTGGTCTGATCGCCCGCCCAGCCCCCACCCGCGTCCCTGGGCCCGGCCCGCCACCTACCTGTCCCGCCCGGCCGCTGCGTGCGGGCTCCGGCCCGTCAGCCCGCGCGGGGCATGGGGCTCGCTCCGGTCGCAGCCCGGGCCCGCCGCCGCCCGCCGGGGCTGCCCCTCCGCGCCGCCCTGCGCCGCGCAGCTCCCGGGCGTCCTCCCAGCGCGCAGCGCCGACCGCCGCGCGCCTCAACCCCGCCGGGGCATCGCACTTTGTGGGCTGCTCGGCTCGCTCCGGCTCCGCTCCTCCTTCCCGGTCCTTCCGCGACGCTCGTCAGCTCGCTCCAGCTCCCGGGCTCCGGGACCCCGGCGTCCCCGCCCCCGGCCCTGCCCTGGTTCCGGCCCGGGCTCCTCCCCGCCGCGCCGCCGCCGCCTGCGCCGCGCCCTCCTCGTGGGCTGGGGGCTCCGTCCCGGCCGCCGGCCGCACCGTCCGGTCCGCAGGGGCGGCGGGCTCCGGACTCCGAGGGGCTGCGACTGAGCCTGGGCTGCGAGTGGCTGCGAGCGGGCGGCGCGCGGGCGGGGCGGAAGGGGGCGGAGGAGGAGGAGGGTGGAGAGGGAAGGAGGGAGCGCGCGGAGCGCGAGGGAGGAGGGAGCAAGAGAGCGAGCGGCGGAGGGAGGGGAGACCAACTTCTAGTGCTACCATAATTCGCCTAAAGCAGGTGCAGCAACTTTCACCCCGCCAGGCAGCCGGCTGAGAGCGAAAGAAGACCACGTGCACCAACTTTAGGCGAGGAAAAATGGGAACGTGGGGAGAAGACGTGGGGCGGCAGATCTGAAAAAGGTGGTAGGTGGAGGGACCCCAGGGATTCACGCTGGCCTCGGGCTAATTCTCTGGCGCGCTCGCAAACCCCGGCCATCCCCTGGAGTCTGGAGGTACGGCCAAGTCCTGCTCCCACACGGTTCACTGGTTCCCGGCGGGCTGTGCCCGGCGCGGGGAGTGGCCGGGGGCCCAGAGGCAGAGCCAGCGACCGGCCTGGGCCCTCCCTGGCCTCCCTCCTGCTCCCCACTGCGTGGGGGCTGAGGATGGGCTTTCTGAGCCGGGGGTGGGGTGGGGGGGCCTGGGCGAGGCCCCTTCAGGGCTTTGTGAACAGTCACCCGCGGGTGTGCACTGCCTCCCTCTGCGGAAAGGGAATTTCCCATAAAGTGTTCTGTGAACTAGTGAAGAAGGAGCCCAAGGCTGGAGTCATACCGGCAAAGTGACGTGCAAAGTTGAGGCAATTATCCGGACAAATTAGATTGTAAACAAAACAGCATCTCTGAATACCACTTTTGCCCAGGAGGACTGGAGGGATTGTGGTGGTGGTAATGGGGGATGGTGGCAATGGTGGGTTGGGAGAGGGAGGTCCGGACGAGGGAATGCCCACGGCCCAAGGGGGAGGGCTATGTTGGTAGCAGACGCCCCACTCAGAGTCCAGTGGAAATCTCAATACCGGTCCTCCCTCACCCCGCAACACACGCCGGAAATGTCTCTCATCTGTCTGCGTGTGTTGGGGGTGGGGAGAAGTGAAGGAGGTCTCAGGGGTCCTCATGAAGTGCCCCAACCCAGCTCAGTGATGCCAGGTTCTCATGACCAACAGGGAGGACCCTGTTGTGGGATCAAGGCAGGAAGACAATGGCTCTTAAAGCCTCCTCTGGCCCCTGAATCCTCAGGCAGGTGGACAAGGGGCAAGCATAGTATGTGAGCCCCTGTGGAGTGGGAGCTGGAAGCCTGAGGGGTGGGGCTGAGCTGCAAGCCTGAATGCTTAGTTGCCTGCGGGGAGGGGATTTCTTGGCCCTTCAAATGGCCCTTGAAAGAAGAGGGACTTGAGAGAGGAGGCACCCTCTTGGGTTATTTTTCATCACTTCTGACCCTTTTCTGTAACGTTAGTGACACCTACACGGGTCCACATTTTATGTATTTGCCCTGTTGGGCAAGTTTGACAGGCATACTTAGGTCCTGCTGGAGTGTTTCAGATTTCTACGTGTGCAATTGTGCAGGGAAGACTCTAAGTGGTGTCCTTTCCAGCGTGGCAACTGAGATAACCACAGCCATAAGAATAAAAAGCAGCTACCGTCTGAGTCGTACCACCCACCAGCCATTTAATCTTCACAGTAACCCTAGGAGGGAGATAGTTCTATTATCTCCATTTTACCGAAGAGGAAACTGAAGCACAAAGTGATCAAGTCACTTGCCAGGGCTTACATAGCTGGTCAATGATGAGCCACATTCCAACTAGAGCCACTTCAGTGACGACAGGAAAAAAGCTCATGGTGGTTTCTAAAGCGGCACTGCCCACTTATGGGTTAGCTGAGGGGAAGGATATTCCGGGAGAAAGAAAGCCCTTGGTAGTACCATCCGATTTACCTTCTGTCAAGGGCCAGCTCTGGTGGAAGTCATGGTGTGTGGACTTGTGTCAGACCAGCTGGGCCAGTGACTACGTTCTCAGTTCTCCTTCCCATCCTTCTTGCAGCACAGGCTGAGGGTGGGGCGAGAACTAGGGACTGTGGAGATATAAGAGAGAATTTCTGTAAGGGGGCATGGAAAGAGGTGACCTCTGAGGGGCTTCTCCAGCCCTTTTCTGGCTGGTTGACTGAATGCTTTTCCCATCCCCTTCCTGCAGCAGCCTTTGTACCTCACACATGGGCTCACTTGCCCAGAGAGATTGCCCTGGGAAATGCTTCGCTTTCCTTTCTGTTTACCCCTCATCTCCAGGCCAGTTCAGTTCTCAGCACCCTGTGATCTACAGTGGAGGGCTCAAGGCATCAAAAGACCCTGTCTTGTCCTCACCTAAAGGACATTTTAGTGAGGAAAACAAAACCTCCCCAAAGAAAGATACAGAACAAATGTCCCCAAATCAAAGAAGCCAGTCCAAAGTCCTTCTTCCTGGTGCAAGAGCTTCATTAAGAAGGTTGAAAAGAGTAGCCCTTGACTCCAAAGTGGGAGTGACTGGGAGCAGACAAGAGGGTCCCCTTTCTGTCCTTGTTCCTTCACAGGACTCAGGGCAGGTGCAGGTGCTCTGGCAGTGGCAGGAACCAAGGCTCATGACTTGGCTTCTCTAGGGAAACCATAATTAAGAGCACAAGGGCTAGAGTCAGGCAGCCTTGGGTTGAACTTCAGCCTCTGTCACTTAACCAGTGTGTGACCTGGGCAAGTTACATGATGTTTGAGTCTCAGTTTCCTCACTCATCAACTGGGAGGTTGGGAGGTCTCCTTGGGTGGTTGGGAGGGAGGATGGGCAAAACTGTTAGCCTGGTAACCTGTTCCTCATATGCTTTCCATAATTACTTATTTTCCCTTTGGTGAGCTCCAGGGTCCTCACTTAAAATGAGGAATGCTGACCTCACAAAGCTGCAAACCATGAGTCGCCACTTATTAAATGCTTGCTGTGTGCCAGGCAGTCTGATAACGTGCTGTTCAGCTTATTACCCCAGCAATGGTGACTATTCTCCAGGTGAAGCTAAGAGAGGTCAGGTGACTTGCCCAGGTCACATAGCTAGGAAGTGGTGCGGCAAGGACTTGCTCCCAGGTCTCCTGCTCTGAAGCAGATGCCCTCTCCCAAGGTCAGCTGCCACCTTATTGTTGAGATGAAGTGGGTTGATGGATGAGCTTGTTCCTAGCAGCAGGCCTGACACTCATGGGTAGGTTGGGGTGGTAGTGGTGTGTGCATAGAGAAACATTAGTCTCATTCCCATGGTCCCAACACAGCTAAGCCCAGATATTGTATGTTTCTGTTCATCCGAGTGCTTGAATCTCTTTTCTCAAAAATAATATTTTAGCATTTTTTTTTTGACAGAGTCATGCTCTGTTGCCCAGGCTGGAGTATAGTGGCATGATTTCAGCTCACTGCAACCTCTGCCTCCTGGGTTCAAGTGATTCTCATGCCTCAGCCTTCCGAGTAGCTGAGACTACAGGCACGCTGCTATGCCCTGCTAATTTTTGTATTTTTAGTAGACATGGGTTTCACCATGTTGGCCAGGCTGGTCTCAAACTCCTGACATCAAGTGATCCGCCCACCTTGGCCTCCCAAAGTACTGGGATTACATGTGTGAGCCACTGCACCCGGCCAAAAACTATTTTTTAGTTATCGAGGAATAAAATTTGGTCAGCATAGGCTGGGTGCAATGGCTCATGCCTGTAATCCCAACACTTTGGAAGGCCGAGGTGGGTAGGTCACATGAGGTCAGGAGTTTGAGACCAGCCTGACCAACATGAAGAAACCCCATCTCTACTAAAAATACAAAATTAGCCAGGCGTGGTGGTGTATGCCTGTAATCCCAGCTACTCAGGAGGCTGAGGCAAGAGAATTGCCTGAACCTGAGAGGTGGAGGTGGCAGCGAGCTGAGATCACACCATTGCACTCCAACCTGGGTCTCAAAAAGAAAAAAAAAAAAAATCTTTATCAGCATAGTACAGTAACTCCACTCCTAAGTATAGGTATATATGCATATGTACATATGTACATAAAAATACATATGTTCACCAAAAGGCATAGAATGCTATGCCATCTATTGGCATGTGCTGATTATTCGCAACAGTCGTCAACAGTGGAGTAGGTGACTAAATCCTGGTCTTCTCATACGTGGGCTAGTACTTGGCAATGAGAATGAACAAACCATTGCTGTGTGCAACAACATGGAGGAATCTCACAAACATAACGTTGAGCATAAAAGCTAGACACAGCTGGGCGCGGTGGCTCACACCTGTAATCCCAGCACTTTGGGAGGCCGAGACGGGGGGATCACGAGGTCAAGAGATCAAGACCATCCTGGTCAACACGGTGAAACCCCGTCTGTACTAAAAATACAAAAACTGGCTGGGCATGGTGGCACGTGCCTGTAATCCCAGCTACTCGGGAGGTTGAGGCAGGAGAATTGCTTGAACCCAGGAGACGGAGGTTGCGGTGAGCCAAGATCGCGCCATTGCACTCCAGCCTGGGTAACAAGAGCGAAACTCCGTCTCAAAAAAAAAAAAAAAAAAAAAGCCAGACACAAAAGAATACACATTCTGATTCCATTGATCTGAAATTCAGAACCCAATCTAATGAATTGATGGCATTAAAATTCAGGAGCATGGCCATTTTAAGTGGGGGTGTGACAGGGGCATGAGGAGATGTCTGGGTCTTTTTGGATTTGGGAGTTGGCTACATGTGCATGTTCACTTTGTAAACATTAATTGAGCTATACATTTTATGCTTTAAAATATGACATGTAAAAATCAGGCTAATATAGGCCTTTCCGTGACTGTCCTTCTTTCCCACTCTCTGTCTTTCCCTTGTCGATTCGAGGTTGGCCTTCCCAAGTAAGGGTTCTACTCTTACTCCTTTGGTGTTGCTTGGGTATCTCAAAATTTTCTTTTGTTTTAGTTATTGATTTTTATTCATTTTTGTAGCATAATAAAGTATCAAGCAATTAAAATTTTAAATGAGGCCGGGCGCTGTGGCTCACACCTGTAATTCCAGTACTCTGGGCGGCCGAGGCAGGCAGCTCACAGAGGTCAAGAGTTCAAGACCAGCCTGACCAACAAGGTCACCC